TGACTGATTTAATTTCTTTGTAAACAATTGCATATAATGACATGGCTACACACTGTTTACCAGCACTCATACCAAACATTAAATCATTACCTTGATTAAAATCTGCATGAATTGTACAGGCAGGATCAACTAAATCATTTAAAGTTCTAGGACCAGGATTTTCCTCTACATCATTTGAGAGTCTTAGCAATAATGGCACATAAACATCATGATAGTATATGATTTGAACATACCAAAAGCACAATTCACTAATCTTTTGGCTCTTATTCAATTGGCTTTTGAAATAAGGCAAGCAGAATACATTGAAATAAAACATTAATAGTATTTGATTCCAAAGTTTACCTTTAAGACGGCACATACTGTTGCGACGGTCTGTAAAATTGTGGTGTGAACCAATCCTGGAGCGATAAACTTCAATAGTGACACCCATATTTGTGGCCTAGAACTCAAAACCAATTGTCAATTGTCGAGTTAATTTAGATATTACTGATGATTTTTATTTGTCAGTATATTCGTCAGTAATGTACCTGCAAGTCAGCAAGCAGTCAGCAGTGTTATTTTGTTTGAATATAGCAGCAGTTGTGGCTGTTAATTGTTTTATATACCCGCACAATGGCTGGGTTCAAATTTCAATACCCGCACAATGGCTGGGTTCAATTTCAATACCTGCACAATGGCTAGGTTCACTTTTGGTACGTGGCCTTTCACGTAAATAGTACCAGGGCCGGATTAACCTTTCGCGGGGCCCGTGGCATTTTTTCAGTGCGGGGCCCCTCAATCCCGTAAAAAGCATCAAAGCCTTTACTCACCGGCCACAGAATTTTTGGGGCTCGGGTAAAATTCTCGTTAGGGGAGTAAAATCCGCAAAAAAATAGCAATTTGTGCTAGTGTAGCGAGATAATGCATGACCAGAACATTGTGATAAACTTGAAATTTTGGGGGCTATAGCAGTGTTAGGGAGGTTTGGGGGCATCCTCTCCCAAGAACATTTTGAGTTTTAGAGTGCAGCAAATGCGATTTCCTGCGTTTTGGGGGTGAGATTTCCACAAAATCGAGTATAATATTGCATTACCTAAACTACATATAAACAACCTAAGATGTTTTCTAAAAGAGGACTATATATTCCAACAACATGCAGTTTAATTCTATTCTTGTAGGTTTTGGGGGACCCTTACAACCCTGGGCTCAGGGCTAATTTCCCCCTTTGACCACCCCTCTGGGTGGCTCTGCCTTTACTTGAAGTTTTAAATTTCTAAATTTTCCCATTACCCTAAAATTTTCTTAGAAGAATCTGTTGAGAGAACAATCATATAACATCCGGTGAACTTTAATACCGGATATGACCTTTCATTAAATTAGCGAATCATAAGATACTTGAACTATTACGTCATAAACGCATGTTGAACGTTTTTACACAGATACATATTTATTTTTTACTCGTTGTTGTTACCAATATATTGATATTATTCTTTGGTGTAATAAATGTAAAAAGAGAAACGATGTCTCTTCATTCAATACACTCAACAGGTTATGGGCCCAGGAGGCTTTACTTTAATGGAGATCCAAACAACTATACAATTTGGGAGACACGATTCATCAACTATTTATATACACTAGACAAAGGCGTACACAAAGCCATTTTACCCCAAGTTGAGGAGGAAGAAAACGACCGAGATTTCGACGAAAAGAATAGACGAGCCTATGCCGAGTTGGTACAAACACTGGATGAACGTTCGCTACAACTAATAATGCACGATGCTACAAATAATGGACGAGAAGCGTTGAAAATCCTACGCAGCCACTACGCCAGCGCCGAGAAACCACGAGTACTCACGCTATATGAAGAGTTGACAACACTCCGTATGTCTGTACATGAAGACATCACTGATTACATTATCAGAGCTGAAAAAGCAGCTACAGGATTAAAATCAGCAGGTGAGACAATTAGTGACAATCTTATTATCGCCATGCTTTTGAAAGGTTTACCCGAAGCATACACGTCATTTGTTGTGGTACACACACAGTTAGACAAAGTAAAAACACTGACTGAATTCAAAGCCGCACTACACAACTATTCCAACACCGAAGCCAGCCGCTCTGCTTCAGCCCAAGCGCCATCATCTGCTATGTTCTCATCCAATGATAATAAATCCGGTCCAACTAAATCATCGAAAAACCAGCAAACTTGTAATTCGTGTGGAAAAACAAATCACCATCACGAAACTGCAGAGTAAAATCCAAATTGAAATGTACTTTTTGTGACAAACCAGGGCACGTAGAAAGTGTCTGTTTTCAAAAGAAAAGAGACGGTGCAAACAAACAAAACACGGCCAGCAACGTATCATTCTCTTTCTCGTTGAGTGATAAAATCATGTTCAGCAGCGCACACAGACCTCATTGCAACGTATCATATTGTGAACGACCCAAATAGCATGATAGCATACGACGATTCTTTCGATCCAAGTCAACACTACATCGAGCTCGCTAATGGTCATCGTAGCAACACCATCGTTACAGCGAAAGGTACAGCCAAGTTCACTATCCTTAGTTCCACCGGCCAACATATCGACATTATGCTCAAGAACGCATTGCTCGCACCAACCTTTCCAGTGAGTCTGTTCTCAGTACGAGCAGCAACTGATGCGAACGCAACGGTCGTCTTCACCAAAGATACAGCTAAACTCATCACCAACCATACTCGATTCGACATCCACAAACGAGGTCGCCTGTACTACCTACCCACAATTACGAATGACACAGCTAGCACAACCAGATCCCTTGCTGACTGGCAAAAAACTCTTGGCCACATGAATCATGAGGACATTCTCAAACTAGAGTCTGCCACCCGAGGAATGAAGATCACAGACCCAAAAGGCAAACAACCGTGCAACACATGCAATGAGCATAAGATGACAAAGCTACCAAAGTCCCATGATGATCCTCCCGTGCACGCTATCCTATAAACACACACCACTTTTACTCACTTCTTATCTTCATGTTTCTTTTACACAAAGCCAACCCTGCTCCCCGCTGACGAGTCCGCAAAAGGATGAAACGCCGCGTACGGGGATACTGATTCGCACGCTTGACTATCTTGTCTTTTGTCTTACCTTTTTACCTACTTCCTCACATAACTTTGATTTGAACAGCACCAACAACACTACACAACCTATTACTACACACATAACGACATAGGTTCTTCAGGAACTCCATCATACACAAACAAAACCCTTTTACAAAAATTTCATTTCAAACACACCACATTGTTGGCGGTTGTCCAACAACATTCCATCAACCCCATCTGGTTATTTTTATTTCTATTTCTACACCCCTTAATTCGCAATTAACTAATCAACAAATCACTTATTTTGTTCCCTTTTTGCCCACATATACATAACGTCCTAACCTTAACGTCCTAACGCTGGTTTAATTCAGACAATTGTTACAAATTAACCTATAACTATATAAGAACTACAATTTGGTTCCAATTACCTATGTCAAAAAAAAAATAAAAAAAGTTTTTAGGACCCGGGATATTTTACTACCCACTGATGACGACATTGCATTGTAATTCCTCACCGAAGTCCAAAACAACTCGACCATACTTGTTTTAACTCATGACTACGGTGATATAATAAAATGTAACTTGAACAACAATAACGAACCGTACTACATGAAGTACACCATACGAACAAAACACAATTAAACCTCGATGTCCACACACAACCATAATTGACACGTAAACCCCACTATCTCCCACACAGACTTTGACACCTGACCCCAGTGACGTAACATACTAACGCATTTTATGCAGACACGTGTAATCCCTGACCCCTTTTCGATCAAGCTTCTTGAACGGATACAAGCTCTGCTGTCAAGCAATTTTTTACACGAATTTTGATAAAATTCCACACGGTCTCACAACTTTAATCATTAAGATGGCTCATCGCGTTGGTCTATCGAAGTACAACAACAACTTTGGTAAGACACACAGTTTAAATTTTCTATTTTACCCCTTACGAATACACTTTCACGCAGTCTTGATCCTTTATGATTCTCCTATAAACACACACCACTTTTACTCACTTCTTATCTTCATGGTTCTTCTACACAAAGCCAACCCTGCTCCCCGCTGACGAGTCCGCAAAAGGATGAAACGCCGCGTACGGGGATACTGATTCGCACGCTTGCCTTTCTTGTCTTCTGTTTTACTTTTCTACCTACCTCCTTACATTACCTTGACTTAACACCACCAATAACGCTACACAACCTATTACTACAAACGCAACTACATAGTTTCTTGAAGAACTCCATCATACACAAACAAAACCCTTTTTTACAAAATTTTATTTCAAACACACCACATGGTTGGCAGTTGTCCAACAAATTCCAAACTACCCTGGTTATTTTTATTTATTTCTACGCCCCCCAATTCGCAATTAACTATTCAACGAATTACTCATTATGTTCCCCTTTAGCCCACATACACATAACGTTCTATTTTTTCCTCTAGTTTGTTTAATTCAGACAATTGTTACAAATTAACTTATAACTATATGAGAACTACAATATGGTTCCAATTACCTATGTCAAAATATAAAATAAACATTATAGTACCCTGGTCTATGATGACGACCAGTGCGAGCAACAATGGCTCCGGTTTTTTTGAGTTTTTCGATACGTGCACCTCCGACACGTGGAGCGCCTGACAAGATGATGTCAGTGCAGGCAAGATTGCCCCGTATATACAATGAAATGTACGCTTGTAAAATCTGATTGTAGTCGAAATTGCTCGACCACAGTAGATAAATAAGCGATTAAAATAATAAAAACCCACAAAAAAGCAATACAGCTTACCTTAACTTTGCTAAAACGAAACAACGCTGTCAACGCCTCCACGAAATCACAGTGGAAACCAGTTCTGCTGGGCAAATTGACTGTGAGAATCAATTTCAAGGTCGCTTTACAATCTACCAGGCCTGGTTACGCTGCCTGTTCGCTAATCGCCTGTTCGCAGGTTAACTAAACACAACATTGCATTTCTTACCAGTATGTTGTTTCTTTGAATATCGCCTAGTTTTTATACTATCCTGTCTCGTAAATCTGCTGGAAAACGCAAAAAGAATGAAGATGAACACCTAGACTCGATAATTGATGAGATTAACACCATTACAGGTGCAGAGTCTTCTAAAAGTAGAAAGACTCGACCTAACCACTCAAGTAAAAATAAAGATATTGACATCGTACTGAGAAGAGACGAATCTGGCCAGCGAATATATCACAACCCAAGACGATTGTCGCAGTCTAGCTGGGCAAGACGAGGTAAACGCGGAAATGTCAATAAAGTTTTTGTGTTGTGGAGTTTTGTAGGTTATTTAAGCTTTGACTTTTACTGTTTTACACCACTTATTAATAGGCAGCAATATCACTGCAACTACTGCAAACAAGGAAGGATTTGTCGAGACAGACTCTGTGAACGAAAGCAATCCAGAGTCAGGTAAACACTTCAATCACAGTTCATGTGTTATGCAGTTATATATTCTAACTGTATATTCTCATATTACTGATATTAGAAGGTAGAACCAGACAAATTTTTGATAACCTTTTCCAAGCCTGCATGTTCCATCTGCTTTGCTGGAATCCAGGCTGTAAATACGTCCAAATATTCGCCCAATAAAATGATGTATGAATTTTATTTTACAAGTATAATGGCTTTACTGTTTAGTTTTGGACTACAACTACCATAATTAGTCCTGCACAACAGTCAAATCATTATACTAAAATCAGCCTCAAATTGTTATAAAATTACAGTGGGGTTAGGGTGAATTTTCTGGCCCCGGAAAATATCAAATGATCAGCTTCTGAAGCAAACCGAACAGGAGGATATTTGTACCCTTATCACCAGGAGAAGATGGAGATATTTCAGGCATGTGCTGTGAAAGAGCAATAACAACATAGCCAGAATTGCAATGCGCTGGACACCTGAAGGTAAACGGAGCAGAGGGCGCCCAAAAACAACATGGCGCAGAACTGTAGAAAAGGGACTGAGGGAGCTCAATTACAGCTGGAGCACCATTGAAAAACTGGCTAAAGATAAGCAGGGTTGGAAAGATTTCGTTGCTGCCCTATGTGCCACATAGGCATGATGGGCAGTAAGTAAGTAAGTAAGTTAGGGTGCTATTGCCTTAAATAAATAATAAAATAAACATATATATGGCTAATCTCATTATTACCTTAAGTTATTAAAGCATATTGAAACTAGAGAGTGAGGTTAGAAATATCATTACAAATTAGCCTATGTATGAACATAATGTGGCTGTATGATTGTAGGATGTGGTTTAATGGGTTTTTGTGCTCTACCCTAAGATATTTTTCCTAAGTAATATAGTAGCGATTTTATTTAAATAGACAAGCATGCAAGTTTTAAATCACTTTTAATGTATAGCTTTTATAACTAAATAGTGGAATACACAAGATTGAACAAACCTGTTGATCTCTTAACTGACAAAGTAGATGAACATTTTGAAACTTTTGAGCAAGGTACAGGTAGAATTAATTTTGGATCTACCATACATCTACCTTATATGGATTTGTTAAATAACCTAGAGTGTTCCATGTTTGAAGGTTCTGTACAGTAACAGTATGTGACCTACAATAACATTTCAACTTGAATTAATTTCTTAATGTAAATGGTATATGCATTATTTTATAGACCTTGATGCAATCATTGAACAGTGTGAGGAAGCTGTTGGGGAAATTAATGATAATACCACTGTGTGGCAAAAACGAATAAACAATCTTGAGGAAAACTGGGAGAATGCTAGAGGAGCTATATTTCACAGTGTTTTGTGTTCATTTGCCCCTCCCACTTCTTCATTACATTGCTCTAAAATTGATTGCACCAATGTTGTGCAATTGAGGTGTAAGCAGTGTGGTGTTTTTCAATATTTATATGTCAACTGTGATGAAGAAGTACATCAGTGTCAGCCTCTTCATGATCGCGAAGTTTGGATAAATGGGTATTTTCAATACATTCTTCCAACTGAGTCAATAACTGATGATGGAAAGCTTGTTCCTGTTGGTATGTGTCAATAATTATTTTCAATTAATAATTTTTAAAGGCAGTGTACCTTGCAATATGGTTGCAAACTATTTACAAGCAACTGTCTATAAAATAACTTAAACGGATATGAGGTACACAGGAATCTGCACTTCCAAATTTGAATGAGAAGTTTGGAATTCAGAGGCTTTTATTTATAATGGAAGGACCTAAGGGATAAGCTGTAATTTTCCTACTATATTTAAGGTCGTGCATGTCCGTTTCTTTACCCAACATCTTGCTTGGTGTGCGGGGAATCTACTTTGAAAACATTGAACAGCTCAAAAGTTATACTCATCACATCTGAAGGTATTGTATTTTAATGCGATCAAAAATTGAACCTAATCATAAGTTTACTACAAAATAATGCCGTACATGTTGTGCCAGTTCTTTTTGTTATTTTTTTTTATTTCTGTGCTGATGTTTATAGTACACAGTAGAGTGTATATTGAGATAGTAATAATGTAATTATACATTCATAGTCAATCATTAACAGTATATGCTAAGATTGCATGAGTATAAGTAAACCGTTAAAGTTAATGGATTTTTCTGATATTTAAGGTTGTTTTGACCTCAATTGGTTTAACATACACTGTTCATCATGTACTTGGCAATGGTCACCAAATTCGTTTGACTGTATAGTTCAAAGTGGGTTTTGGCCAGGAAGTCCTGCCAATGTAAACTACTTGTTTCATCAAGAGCTGTTTCTTCTTTGGGATGCCTTCCGGAAGCAAATGCCAGGCTCCTCACAAACTGCTTTTATTAGAAGCTTGGAAGACATGTCTCACTCCAAAAAAAAGGGTGAGTGCTGTATATGTGGCAGTTATCAATAATGTATTAGCAAAAGCCTGATCACACTAAAAGAAGATAATCATACAAATTGAATGGGGTACATATAGTGTGTTGGATGGTATTTAATTAGCACTCAGTAAGGTCAGAGCATACAAATGTCTTTTTTCTTTGTATTAAAGGCAGATGTAATTACTGCAGCAACATTTAGGAAGGCCTTTGCAGAGTGGTGCTATTGTCAATTTGAACTGGCTTCGCTACAACTTCAAGATTGGAGAAAATGCCCACCATGCAGTGTTGACCAACACTCTTGTCATATTGATGGCAACCACAAGGTTTATAGATATGATAAAGTATCAAGGTACCACACCCTAATAGTTCATGTACTTGTGTGATTTATATTTTCCTAACATGACATTTGTAAGACTACATACATTATAAAACAAACTGGCTATATGTCACTTAGGAAATTTGAATATTTAGGGGTACAAGTCCTTCTTATTACAATGACCATCTGATTGTCGAAAATGCGAAAGTAGATTCTCATATAAGAAGCTTGAGTTCCAAAATCACGAAGAAACATATGGTAAAGTTACAGTATAAAATACTGGTCGTTGGCCGATATTTTTGTTCTTTTTCGTTCTTCACATAGTTAAATTTAGTTGGAATCTTTTTTTGTTTAGAAAGAAGATAGTTTTTGTGGTGATACACATTGGAAAGCTGCAAAAGCTGTGTCGAAAGCGAAGAAGAACCAGGATGAAACTGGATTGGTAGTGGCTGGCTGCAGACATTCTGTTTGTCAAGCCGCCTTGAATATGTTTAGAGGAGAAGTTTATGGTTATGCTCACTATCTACATTTAAATTTTGTTCATCCAAACAATGTTAGGTTCTTGTGGGAGGATGTGATATGTAAGTACTGGCCATGGGCTAAGCGAGTCACTTCAGAGCAGAACAAGAGGGCATTAACTGATACAAAACCAGCCTTGTCACTCATGCATGGAAAATCGCACAGTTGGAACTGTCAGGTATTTTTACTAGGTCTAGATTCTTCGTTCTGGTCTCTGTATTGGTTTGAAACGTTTAAGAATTTCTCTTTCAATTTGGCAAGAGTTTATTTGGACAGAACTTCAATATAAATTTTGGGGCATGACATAATGTGTAGCAAATTTTCATTGCATTTAACATAGGTTATTTGGAGTGGAAGATGGCAAGAAGGTGCTGCTGCAACTCCTGGGGAGGAAGTTGAACAAATCAACAGCTATCTCTCCAGACTTGGATCCACCACCAAGAATATGATAGCATCAGGTTAATATAGAATGTAATTGTGCATCACTGCATCCTAATGGAGATCAGTGAACCGTATAACATTGACATTCCATGCATTCCTTTTACAGGTCGCGAGGATTGCATCACTGAGCATCTATTGAGTTGGAATAAGCGAAAAATCTCTAATCTACCTAAGCTGTTGGTTCTTCGCCTGAAAAAGGTTAATTACAGTATATATTTTCGCTTTATATGTAAAACGTTTTCGTTGCATACTTGAGCTTATGCGTTATTCTTTTCAGCATTCGTTTAGTCTTTCTTTCAATGCCTTTCTGTAGACGGAAAAGAAACTGGACGAGGCGAAAACGGAACTTGCTACACGTATGTGCGTGAGATTAATTTATCAGACGCTGATTTGGATCCCTCAGTTGTGTCATGGAAAAGAGATGTTCAGCAGTTTGCTACTGGTACGACTAATGATTGATCTTGTTAAAATATACTGTACTGTACGAATTGATCAAATGTATATACTTTATGGATTCTTTAGAACAAAAAGCAGGAAAAAATGTTGACGTTGGGGATTTAGGAGAATTCTACCTTTTACATCATGTGGTACAAAATGCTCAACAACTAAATACGTTTGTAAGTAGGAACGATGACCAGACGCAGATTTTAATCGGGGATAAAAATTTCACCAACTTGCTGCAGATAAAACAAAGCAGTTGAATAAGAACATGGAAAGATTGCGTGTTTTGTCGTCCGAGCTTTTGAATTCCACCGTAACAGAGGAGGAGCTTCTTGCTCGGGGGAAGGTTGAACTTGCGAAAGTAACATTGTCCAGGTTGCAGAGAAAATTGGAGATGCTGTACTTTTCCATTACGAGGCGGATGAAGGAGATTTCGTCGCTTGCTGGTTGGTGTATAACAATTTTATTGTTACTTTAATATAATCTGTTTATCCCGGTTACTCACATCGTTCGGAGTTAATAACTAGGTCCGCGTACTTTATTTTATTTGGTTAAATAAAGGCTTTCTCTTTAGATTCTAGTAAAAGGAGATCATCTATGCGAGCAAAATGCTGAAGGGAAAAAACAGAAATAGCGTCCACAGTAGAAGAGTTGAATTCAGTTAACAGCCTTCTGAAACTGCCTGCGACAAGTGCTGAGGCTATTCTTGCGGGAGATTTTCTTTGGTCGTTTAGTGAGGAACCAACAACTACGAAAAGTATAGCCAATTTACTAGTGTATCATGGCTACATTTTTATCGAAAGAATAGAATTTTTCTTTGTTTCTTAATCTCTATATAGATTGATTTAGATTTTTTGCTATGCTATAGGTCTTCCTGTACGATACAAGGCACAGGTAGTAGAAAAGTTCATGCTGGTTCAAAGGCTAAAAGAAGAAGAAGACCAAATAAGAAAAGAAATGAAGAACTTCCTCGTGTTCTATTTAAAGAATATTTTGGACAACCTTCATCAAAGAAAAGCAGACATTAATGAGCGAATAGGTATAAGTATCAGATATTTTCCGAACTTTTGCAATAGCTGTTATTGTATAAAGTCTTGACAATAAACTTGCTAGAAATTGCTAGAAATCTATGTTTGTTTCCTTCATTGATTTTTTTACAATGGTCTTTGCAAAGCGCTGTTTTTACCTGAATTTGTATTTTTAGTGCAAAGTTTGAGAAACTTTGCAGTATTGTGATGAGTGGCGAAAATTCAAACGAGTCAGTCAGTCAGTCAGTCAGTCAGTCAGTCAGTCAGTCAGTCAGTCAGTCAGTCAGTCAGTCAGTCAGTCAGTCAGTCAGTCAGTCAGTCATTAGATTGTCGACACTGCCCCAGTGTAACTAAAATTTTGATAAGCTATAACTTCTTTTACAAGAAGAGTTACATTTTAATAATTGGGGAACTACTTTAAAATATTGCGAATTTTAGTCTATGTACGCGACATACATTTGCGCGCGATAGTTTTTCCGAAGTTGAGGTGAAACGAAGCCGGAGGTTACACTAGGGCAAATCGTCGTGTAAACCTTCATTTTTTAGTGGATTTTCTCCAAAATTGGACAGATGTGGGTTTGACGCAAGCCGCGTCCGTCCATTAGTAACCAGCACTTTCCATTAACCTTGGGTCAGAGTTGTGTAAAGAAAATAAAATGCCTGAAACTTTAACAGTTCTTACCCGACCTTCGAGGCCCAAATGAGCCACCATTTCAGCTGCAAAGACTTAGCTAAAAGTAATTTTGTGATAACTCCCTCAATTTTCATGCAAATGACCTGATTTTTGGCATGCATGTTAATTTCTACTTGTACTACCAGCTCACTAAAGCTCAGATTTTTTCTGTATTGCTTGTCCATTTTATTTTAACTTTTTCTCCAAAATGCCACGTTACAAAAGGGCACATGTGCCCGTGTGTAACCTGAAATGTGCCCTTATGTAACATCAGAAACTTCAACTTCTTTTTGGCCTCAGTAACTAGGCTGAACATTGACTAGGGATGGTCATAAGTGGCTAATCTCATAAAAAACTGGCTTAAAAACGCAAAACAGACCATGCTTTGCGCAATTTTTTTACCTCCATTTATTTTAAATTCCTCGCATATTATATTTGCTAAATAATTTTAAAACATTAAAAAGTTGTCATAATAAAGTCTCCTCAGACCTCTCATGGAAAAAAAATGTTGATGTAAAAAAATTAATAATTTTTTTGAGAATTATGAAGAACGTCCACTTTATACAAGTTTCTCTATCGGTTAACAGCGGGAGGCACCGCAATGCATTGTGGACTGTGCGCGTCTCTTTCTTGTCTGTCTATATTAAAGCTTGACGTATCATCAGGAAACGAAGGAGAGGAATACTTCGAAAGGATTGCCTTTTTGTGCTAAGAAAGGTTAGTAAATTATTTTTACTGTTGCTTATGCACCAAGTAACAAGAGTACAGGAGCATAGCATTTATTATTAAGCGTATTCTGTGCATTAAATGTTTATTTACATATGTCGCATCATGCAACTTCCGTGACGCATGATTATTCATAGTGGCTTGTATTCTGTGATGGTAGAATACGGATTTGTTTCACTTGTTAAGCCTGCTAAGGAATCATTGCTATAAACACACACAAAAAGGTTTTAATGCGATTATTTTAAGGAGATTGTAGAAAGAGATTGTAAAGAATGCAAATCAAATTGCTTCCCGTGGTAATATTAAACGAAGTAGCTTTGTTTACGGCTCCGTAAACGGACTTCGCTACTCTTGCGCTAAATAACTCGCGGGCAATTCGATTTTATTTTATTCCTAAAGCATTTACCCGTTCTCGCCACATAAACTCGTGTAGATATTCAGGCAACATGTCGCGTCTCAGTTCTCACACCTTTCGTATTTTTAATTTCAACTTGTGCCGGTTCCAGTATTTATAAGACTTGATGTTTTTTTATTTTGTAATCGGCCATGATCTTTATATGAAATGGTTTCGGTTTTTTGAATTTGAACGATCAAATAGTCACATTGAAACACCGGCAATAGACGCGAGGTGTCATAAAAAATCCTATTGAAAAACCAATACATAAAGTAATATATGGCCTTGGACGGTATAATAATTGACTGCCTTTCAATGCTGTACTATGACTTCTTACACCGTCTTACACACATATACCATGACTTACACTCTCTTACACAGCTGAGTGATATTGCTGTACATTGCTCTACTATAGATTAACCTAAATGATCTGCCATTATCATATTTGCACTGCTTTACCATACACTGTATGCTGCTGTTAAACTGAATAAAACAATGTCCTCCCATACAATATTGGTATTTGATAGCATAATATGAGTTAGTATAAATTAATGTGGTGCTTGACAGCATAACTTAATGCATTAGTATTTAATAATATGTTGCCAAACAGCATAATATAATTTGTTTGGATAAACTAGCTATTCTGTATAGTGTATATCTTAAAAAAGATTCACTCATTTCAACCTATCATCTTAAGTCACTGTAGGTATACCAAAGAGCTACCCACCAAAATACTTGTCAATATCTATTGTATAAGTTGCTGAGATTTCATAAGTGTATGACTAAACCCCAGCCATTTGATTTTCTCAAATGTGCAGTGTTACACTTTATGCTTTAATTCATCCTTTATATCATTCTGAGCATCTAATTATTTGATATATGGAGGTTTGAGTATAATTTCATTAGGTAATTTTCATGTTAGCATCAGGTTATTGGTCGTAGTTGTACCTTAATTGTGACTTAGGCAAAATCACTAATTTAAATAACATTTCATCAGAATGTAACATTTGTTTCACTCAAGGTATATTGATCAGTAGTTTACCCACAAAAGTACTTATTTATACAGGTGTTTCTACATTCATACATGTATGCAGGTGTTTGTTGTATAAAACTCTTAAATCCGTTTCAACTATAATATATCGGGAGATTGGTTAATTTTGCACTAATCATACTGATTTAGTTAATTCACTATGTTTTAACATGATGGCATAATATGTGTTGATATAAAATACCCGGTAATGCAGTGTTTGATACCATGGTATAATGTACTGGTATAATACAATGCAGTTTTTGATACCATGGTATAATGTACTGGTATAATACAATGCAGTGTTTGATACCATGGTATAATGTACTGGTATAATACAATGCAATGTTTGATACCATGGTATAATGTACTGGTATAATACAATGCAATGTTTGATACCATGGTATAATGTACTGGTATAATACAATGCAATGTTTGATACCATAGTATAATGTACTGGTATAATGCAATCCAATGTTTGATACCATAGTATAATGTACTGGTATAATGCAATCCAATGTTTGATACCATAGTATAATGTACTGGTATAATGCAATGCAATGTTTGATACCATAGTACAATGTACTGGTATAATGCAATCCAATGTTTGATACCATAGTATAATGTACCAGTATAATGCAATGCAATGTTTGATACCATAGTATAACTGGTATAATGCAATGCAATGTTTGATACCATAGTATAATGTACTGGTATAATGCAATGCAATGTTTGATACCATAGTATAATGTACTGGTATAATGCAATCCAATGTTTGATACCATAGTATAATGTACCAGTATAATGCAATGGAATGTTTGATACCATAGTATAATGTACTGGTATAATGCAATGGAATGTTTGATACCATAGTATAATGTACTGGTATAATGCAATGCAATGTTTGATACCATAGTATAATGTACTGGTATAATGCAATGCAATGTTTGATACCATAGTATAATGTACTGGTATAATGTAATGCAATGTTTGATACCATAGTATAATGAATTGGTATAAAATAATGCAGCGTGTGATAGCATAATATAATGACATAATGTATTAATACAATATATATTAACTCTAACATTCCGGGAGAGATTGGTTAATTTAGCACTAATCATAGCGATTTAGTTAATTCACTACGTTAATTTTAATATGATCGGCTATGAAGAAGTTTAATTTTTTGCTTGACTTTTGTATTCATTTGTTGGTTGTGTAAAACTCTTTGAACTATATTATACGATGATACTAACTCTAATATTATCGGGAGATAATTTTGCAGGAACTATACTGATTTGGTAATTCACCGTGTTTTTCTATGATGGGCTATGTATAAGTTTAAATTTTTGCTTCTTTACATTGGTTGGTTGTGTAAAACTCTATGAACTATATTATACGGTGATACTAACTTTAACATTATCGGGAGATAGGTTAATTTTGCAGGAACTATACTGATTTGGTAATTCACCGTGTTTTTCTATGATGGGCTTTGTATAAGTTTAATTTTTGCTTGTATACATTTGTTGGTTGTGTAAAACTCTTTGAACTATATTATACGGTGATACTAACTCTAACATTATCGGGAGATAGGTTAATTTTGCAGGAACTATACTGATTTGGTAATTCACCGTGTTTTTCTATGATGGGCTATGTATAAGTTTAAATTTTTGCTTCTATACATTTGTTGGTTGTGTAAAACTCTTTGAACTATATTATACGATGATACTAACTCTAATATTATCGGGAGATAATTTTGCAGGAACTATACTGATTTGGTAATTCACCGTGTTTTTCTATGATGGGCTATGTATAAGTTTAAATTTTTGCTTCTTTACATTGGTTGGTTGTGTAAAACTCTTTGAACTATATTATACGGTGATACTAACTCTAACATTATCGGGAGATAGGTTAATTTTGCAGGAACTATACTGATTTGGTTAATTCACCGTGTTTTTCTATGATGGGCTTTGTATAAGTTTAATTTTTGCTTGTATACATTTGTTGGTTGTGTAAAACTCTTTGAACTATATTATACGGTGATACTAATTCTAACATTATCGGGAGATAGGTTAATTTTGCAGGAACTATACTGATTTGGTTAATTCACCGCGTTTTTCTATGATGGGCTTTGTATAAGTTTAAATTTTTGCTTGTTTACATTTGTTGGTTGTGTAAAACTCTTTGAACTATATTATACGGTGATACTAACTCTAACATTATCGGGAGATAGGTTAATTTTGCAGGAACTATACTGATTTGGTTAATTCACCGCGTTTTTCTATGATGGGCTTTGTATAAGTTTAATTTTTGCTTGTATACATTTGTTGGTTGTGTAAAACTCTTTGAACTATATTATACGATGATACTAACTCTAACATTATCGGGAGATAGGTTAATTTTGCAGGAACTATACTGATTTGGTTAATTCACCGTGTTTTTCTATGATGGGCTTTGTATAAGTTTAATTTTTGCTTGTATACATTTGTTGGTTGTGTAAAACTCTTTGAACTATATTATACGGTGATACTAACTCTAACATTATCGGGAGATAGGTTAATTTTGCAGGAACTATACTGATTTGGTTAATTCACCGCGTTTTTCTATGATGGGCTTTGTATAAGTTTAATTTTTTGCTTGTATACATTTGTTGGTTGTGTAAAACTCTTTGAACTATATTATACGGTGATACTAACTCTAACATTATCGGGAGATAGGTTAATTTTGCAGGAACTATACTGATTTGGTTAATTCACCGCGTTTTTCTATGATGGGCTATGTATAAGTTTAATTTTTTGCTTGTATACATTTGTTGGTTGTGTAAAACTCTTTGAACTATAGTATACGGTGATACTAACTCTAACATTATCGGGAGATAGGTTAATTTTGCAGGAACTATACTGATTTGGTTAATTCACCGCGTTTTTCTATGATAGGCTATTATAAGTTTAAATTTTTGCTTGTTTACATTTGTTGGTTGTGTAAAACTCTTTGAACTATATTATACGGTGATACTAACTCTAACATTATCGGGAGATAGGTTAATTTTGCAGGAACTATACTGATTTGGTTAATTCACCGCGTTTTTCTATGATGGGCTGTGTATAAGTTTAATTTTTTTGCTTGTATACATTTGTTGGTTGTGTAAAACTCTTTGAACTATTTAATCCGATGATACTAACTTTAACATTATCGGGAGATAGGTTAATTTTGCAGGAACTATACTGATTTGGTTAATTCACCGTGTTTTTCTATGATGGGCTATGTATAAGTTTAAATTTTTGCTTCTTTACATTGGTTGGTTGTGTAAAACTCTATGAACTATATTTACGTGATACTAACTTTAACATTATCGGAGATAGGTTAATTTTGCAGGAACTACTATTTGGTAATTCACCGTGTTTTTCTATGATGGGCTTTGTATAGTTTAATTTTTGCTTGTATACATTTGTTGGTTGTGTAAACTCTTTGAACTATATTATACGGTGATACTAACTCTAACATTATCGGGAGATAGGTTAATTTTGCAGGAACTATACTGATTTGGTTAATTCACCGTGTTTTTCTATG